TCCTAAATATAACTGATATGGAGGAAATAAAACTATCCAACTAGCTCCCAGAGCTCTATTTTGGTGGTCTGACTATCACACAAGTATTTGTTGCTCTGCAGGGAAAGTAGAACACCAAATGAATTTCAGCAAGACAAAAGCTCCTCTGTTCAGGACCAATGAGATGCAGGCCTATGTGTGCAAACAGCACAGCTGGCGTCAGGGCCAGAGGCCATCACAGGTTTAAGAAGTAAACTTCAGCATCTCAGGCTGGAAACGTGCACTGTGTCTGTCCTGCCTTGCAGGAAGATCAAGACAGACACGTGAAAACCTTTCATATACTTTCACCTATCATTATGACAAGGGGTGTGTGTGTGTATGTATGTATGTGTATATATATGGGTTTTTTGTTACTGGGGATTGAACCCAGGGGTGCTTAGCCACTAAGCCACATCGTCAGCCCCTTTTTATATTTTTGAGACAGGGTCTCACTAAGTTGCTGAAGCTGGCTTTGAACTCGAGATCCTCCTGCCTCAGCCTCCTGAGCTGCTGGGATTACAGGCATGTACCACTGCACCTGGTACTTAATTTAAATTCTGTGGCTTTTCCCATCACATTGTTTTAAGTGCAGTAAACATACACCATGGCATTGGCCTGCTCCCCGGTTCCCTTGCAGCAGGGCTGGGTGACGTGTTGGGGTGCAGCTGCAGAGTTCCACGAAGAACCGAAAGCAAATGTGAGGCTGCCTCAGGGTGCTTGTTTGTGTGTGGGGGGAGATTTTCTGAAAAGTTAATAAAATTATTTGGCAATTGATTGGTTTTGCCTGAGCAATTGATCTTAAAACCAAATATTTTAAAAGTTTAAGCAAGTTTTTTTTTTTTTCCCATTGATTTTAACTTGGGGAGCTATATTCACTTCTTTGTAAAAGAAGTCAGACTTTTTCTCTTGGAAAAAAATCTTACCCTGTTTGAGTTTTCCTGTTTTTCTCATTACATGTCCAGTGTGGAGGTGTGGACATCACAAACATCAAACCACTTGTCTGAAATAGACCTTTTTGGAAATACACCATTAGAAGGAAGCCAGGAATTCTGTTGTTTGTCTTTGTCATTAACTACTTTCCAATAGGCATTGCCTTTGAAAAAGAAAATGGAGCCATGTGCATAGGAATAGTAAGCTGAATCTATATTTCTAAAGGGATGGTTGTGTGGTCTTATTGCTGGAAAAACTTCAGTAATCTTCTTTGGATAAGAATTCAGTACTTGGTTTCTGTTGACATCAAATGCAAATACCTGCAAACAAATTAGAGAGTAAGACTGTTCTGAAGTTCATTGATATTTAGGTTAACTTCAGCAGTGAGTTAATTACATCCACCTGTGCACTGAGTTCTTTAGACCTGAAATTCTAAATAGTTCTCCACCTAATGATCTGCCACTGCTGTTAGACCTGAAGCAAGGAGAACAGCTTTCAACTGAGAATTCTGTTCATTCGACACATCTCAGACGGGAGTACAGAAGCAGCGCTACTTACAAAGGACACCTTGAAGAAGTAAATTAGCTGTTGCCTTCTGTCATAAAAGGCAGTGTCCAGGGGACTGGGGATGCCAGGAAACCCTTCTGAAATCAGTTTGGGGTAGCTTCTTCCTTCTTCATCTGTGTGGGCCTGGTCCTTGTCACTGTCATATCTCCAGTATTGATTTCCTGAGTGTCAACCAAAAATACAAATATGGCTTTTAAATCACAGGAAACCTGATGGACAGCCTCCTGTTCTGCATATGCTCTGCCGGATTCCCAGAGAAAGCTGGGCTCGTGGCACCTACTGAAGTCTCAGTGGTTTTCCCAGGTTTTGGATGACTTCTCAATTTGACCCCAATAACATTTTCTGTACTTGACACTGCTGCAACTAGATTGTTGATGGTGTCTCACAGAGAGCCCTGATCTATTCACATCGTCCTGTTGGCTCTCAAAAATGACAAAAATGTGGTCTCTTTCACCTGAGCATCTTGATTTTTTTTCCTCTTTCATGGTCTAACAATGTCCTTTTGCATGTTAGTGGCCCACGTGTTGGCCAGAATCACTTTCCTACTCTAATTGATACAAGGTCTCTTGACAGAAGAAATCCCAATGCTTATTCCTGAGTTATACCTTTTCCAGTGTTTTTTAACCATCTGTCTCTCCATCCCCATTTTGCAAATAAGGAAACTGGAGTAGAGCCTTGAAGTGACTTGTGCAAATTCAGAGTCCACCCAGACCCACTATCCTGAGAAATAATATACTCTGGTTAATTTTGTTTTAACGTTCAAATGCTAATTTAATGCTCTGAAACAGGAGAGGATTATTCTAGGCTTTCCTGTTTAGTTCTTAAAGATATGACCTGTTGTCAGCACACAATAGAATAAGTAAATCTGCTGAGTTAGACACTTCTGTTTGCACAACTCATGGCGTACTCAAGTAGTGGCATCCCTTAGCAACAACACACGCACTACAATTAGCACTGAGATGTCCCAGTGGAGCAGCAATTCACTCTAATTGGTATTTTTTTAAAATTTAAAATATTTACAGCAAATTAAAGGTGTTTTTAAAGCAGTCCCCCATCATGACCTAATTCTGCACTGACTCCTTGTTACCAATGTAAGTTCTTTAAAGCATTGAAAAAATCTCGTGTGATATGAAGGGAACTAAAGAGCAAATCTAGACATTGGATCCTGATAATAAAGTTTGCATATGACGTTCTCACAGTTTAGCTCTTGCTTTGTTAACTCTGAGCAGTTTAAAGCAGCATAGTTTGGATCACTGAGATTCAAGTTCAAGAGGTACACACAACATTCCTTCAAAAGAAAGAGCAGGAGCCACAACATCACGTTTGGGATTGGATTGCAGCCCACTCGGTTTGCGAAGCAGCGTGTCTGCATGAGCTGGGTGTGGAGATGCTGGACAGGGTGGCTTGTGAATAAGGAGAACAGCAGCAAGACAGCCCCAACCTGCTCTTCACATGGTCACCCCACCCTGGCCGAATCACCTCCTGCAAAACACTGCTCTTCCCTGTTCAGAAATTGATTCCTTGCTACCCACTGAATGAAGTCCAGACCCTGGTTACTCCATTTGAGGCTCTCCAAGGTCGGACCACCAGTCTTCTCAGAATCTCATCCCGTGTGGGTCCCCTGTCCCCCTTCAATGGATTCCACAGATGAGCCTTTTCCATTCCCCTCTCCTGCTGCTTGTCTCTGGCCACTGCACACACCCACACTGCAGTCTGGGTGCCCTCCTCTAGGCATTCCGGATCTCTCCCATCCTTAGTCCAGGGCAAGTCCTGACTTTTGGAATACTAGCATGGATTCCAGGTGGCAGTGGTCACCTCCCTGCTCGGCCTGCCCCCTGGAATTATGCCTGTGTTGCTAGCCTTCCAGGGCATCCTTTTTCCTCCAGAACCAGGTAACAGTGCTTTGTCAACCACTTCAAGTGTCTAGCAAAGTTCTTTACACATCCATTCAATGACGTTAAGTGCCTTCTTGTAAAAGATCAGGGACAAACCCAACCCCTGTTCCCACAAAGCTTGAAGTCCAATGGGGCAGACTGGAATCAAGCAGGTAATTACCAGAGCGTTACAATAGATTCCATGGTAGGGACTTGGAACATTTATTCTGAATGCGTTTCTCTTATAAAGAGAAATGGTGAGGGCTGGGGTTGTGGCTCAGTGGTAGAATGCTTGCCCAACATGTGAAGCACCAGGTTCGATTCTTAGCACTGCATATAAATAAAAAATAAAGTCCATAGACATCTAAAAATATTTTTTTAAAAAAGAGCCATGAGGCCACCCATGAAGAATCTTTACCTTTAAAAAAATAACGTTCGTCTCTTCTCCATGTCCAGATGTGGACGAATGCATCTATTTTTCGTGCTGGGATTCCGTGCCAGCCAGTGAGGATTGGAAGAGGATCCCCATAGCGGGTCCTGTTGTTTCGATTTTCATAAAGCCAGTACCAGCTGTTGCGGAAGAAATAGGTGCTGAACCTCACCATCACCTCACCATATTGGTTTCTCTCTTTGCGAATCCAATCAAATGCAGTATCAAATGATCCTTCACATGAACCTGAAAAGAAATATCCAGCCACCTGTCACATGGTACAAATGTCGACTTTCAGGTGTGACTGGATAGAGATAATTGCAAATCTGGGGTTTTCTATTGACACACCTTAAAGCAAGACACCATCTGCTATTAGACGTGGGCTGAGCAGGAACAGGGACCCAGGTTGCCTGCAAGAGTCCAGCCACACGAGTTGCTCATAATGCTCTCAGACTTGGTCTGAATGCCAAGGTATAGGACCACCTGATTTCTCTTTCGATGGCCAGTCAGACTTCATTAGAGGAAGGCCCTGTGGTTCTGGGCACACGCTAGAGGAAGAGCTCCACTGGGGAAATAAGTGTGTCCTGGCTACCATGTCTCCAAAGGCCCTGAGTGCCAAGAACAGAGACAGGGTGGTCTCCATGAGGCTCCTTTACGTGGGAAAGGGAAGCCTAGCTTTCCTGGCCTTGGGCATCTGTGTTAAATCACTGATCATTTTCATTAAATAATGACCCATAAGTACCTCAGCCTGAACAACTAAATAAAAATTAAAGCTGCCGCTGCAAGCTTAATCAGTTCTTTGCCTTAGAATTGCTAGAAAGCTCCCAGTGGCTTCCCCTTGGTGCTCCTGTGTGATACTGAGGCACAGGTCAGCTTTTCTCCCAGCCAACACAGGCGGCATATGGAGGGGAGGGCTGGAGGATTGTCCACGGGGAGTGTGCTTTGCCCACCCATGTCCTTCACCTGTGGCTGCAGTCAGGGCAGGGCCACATTTAACTAAGGAAATTGTCCCGTGGAGTTAGGGGACAGATACTTAGTGGAACCTTGTGCTCCTTGGGGACCTGCCTCTCACTGAGCAGCAAGCAGGGTCCTGGTGTATCTTGGCACCCTGAGTGTCCTCTGGGAGCTCTGGGGAGAACCAGCCCAAGAGCTGTCTTACCATACAGTCTCTGAATTGCTTTTCTATCTGACCAGTCCAGCTCAAACGCAGGTTTCTGGGGAATGTAATTTGGTTGCATTATGGATCCCATCCTGTAGGTGTGAGGCAGGCCGAGGACATGGCCAATTTCATGGACAGCCACCTAGGAGGGCAACACAAACCATGGGTGCAGGGCCAATCCTGGGCCTTTGAGTACCACTGGGACTGGTCCCTGAATTACAGAGGACAGGCTTGTGCCTCCCTGGTGCTGTGCTTTTTCAGGAAAAGGGGAACATGGTGAGAACTAGGAAGCATCCTCAGACCCTCCAGCCACCTCAGGGCACGCACATGCCGTGGTAGGCCCTGGCTTTCAGACTGGGCCCATGCTGCCTGCGCTTTCCTGCTCAGTAGAGCAGTATGAGCTACTTACTTTGAGAAGGCTGATGCCTGTGTCACTCGTGGGTGGTGTGAAGTGCTCATCATCATCAAAGTGAATATCGCCCAGGTGCCAGGCATGTGCGAACTCCTGTCCGCTCCCATCAAACACCCGAGGACAGCCCAGGTGCCGGCCTGGCAAGGGGACAGAGTGGTTCTGGCGAGTGAGGGGTGCCCATTGCAGATTCCCCACCTAACCCGACAGACTCGACAGCAGTCAGCCTCCAGGAGCTTGCACCAGGGGCAGGAGCGGGCAGGCCACAACTCCAGGAGGAGGAGTGCGGAGCCATGGTCACCTACAAACTCATCATGAAGTACAGACTGTAGCAAAGGAGCAGGTTCCAAAGCTGGGAGCAGCAGGGAGAGGAGTGTGGGGACCGGGAGATGGGTGCTGTCTGAAGTGCTCACGGAGGGGAGGGCACTGGAACTGGGTCCTGACAGCTGGAAGGTCCCTGAAGGTCGCTGTCCCTGATATGCTTTTTCAGCAAACCATGCCCCACGCACTCTCACTGAGACACTGATTCAGCAAGACCAGGACAGCCAGGAGCTGCCCTGGTTCACACACGAGGCACAGAGATGTTAGGATATTTGTCCAAATCTACCAGCCAAGAGTTGGTGGTACCTGTGGGGGACCCTGGCTGTCTCCTTACTCAGGTCAATGTTATATACCCATGGCTTCTCCACAGGACCAGGGAGGGCGCGTGTGTGGAGTCTTGGTGGCATACTGAATGCTCCAGGTGAGCAAGCTCCACCGCTGGCCTGCACCCATGGGTCCACCTACTCTGAGGGGATCAGGCTGGCCTCCGTGTCCCCTGTGACCACTCCAGGTGCCCTGCTAGGTGACAGGTCCATCCCTTTTCTGGTAAGTTCTAAGATGGTAACATTAATAGAGGGCTTACCTCCACCTCTCCCTGTTGGGTGTCGCCTCAGAACAAGCCAGGGAGAGCAGGTGCACCTCTTTTCTGCAGGTGACTGAGGCAACCAGGGTGGGACGGACTCCAGGAAGCCCAGTGCCCAGCATGCAGGTGAGGGCCCCAGAGGGAAAGGCCGAAGGTGTGTGCTGGCAGAGTGGGCAGGAAGCTTGGGGGGTCCTGAACCTGCACCCTCATTACCTCTCCCAAAACCCAGTTTTATGTCCACTGTGGCCCCAGGAGCAGTGAGATCCTCCCGGAAGTCCAGCGGTGTCACCTCACTCCACATCCTGAAGGCCAGTCTGAAGATGTATCTCTGCTCGTCCACAGAGAGCTGGCTGCTGTAGGCCTCGCCCACCAGTCTCCAGGTCAGGGTCTTTTTGGAGAAGGCCCTCATGGCCCCACTGTCTGAGGAGTCCTCCTGCTGCCCACCTGGCCTGGGTAGCAGCATTTGTAGGAATCGCTTTGACCGGGCCCTGGGCCGTGGGTCTGAAGGGGTGGACAGGGCTGGCAGCCGGGTGTCAGGGACACCACAGCGAGGCCTGTTCATGGCCTCCAGGGTAGCTGCGTCCAGCTTCCCACTGGCTGGCAGCGCATTCACTCTCTGGAACCTGCGCACAGCTTCGGCCAGGGTGGGGCCCGCAGGGGCTGCTGCTGGCTCCTTGGGGCTGGGAACCCAGGCTGAAGGCCCCTCCGACCAGCCATATCTGGATAAGAACTTCTGTGGGAGAGAAATGCACCCAAGTCCAGGGGCTGCCACCCGCAGGGCCTTCCCACTGCCCCATGCCTGCCCTGACCAGGGACTATATGGCAGAAAGGAGACAGAGGGAGAAGAAAGAGACAGAGGGAGGGAGACAGGGCGTGGAGAGAGTAGCCGAAGGTGAGGGCAGTGTGCAGGGGGTTGGCTGGGCTGGCTGAAATCATGGCACCGTGTGGCCTGAGGAGGGGCAGAATTGGAGCAGGCCGGGTGGGAGTGGGGATGGCAGGAGGAGAGGCATGTCGGGAGATGAGAGGTCAGGACTGGAGGAAGCACACCGAGGTCATGGGATATAAGTAGGGGAGGCTGCAGCGTCTGGCCCAGGTGCTACAGACTACAAGTGAGGGGCCTGGGAGTGGCAAATTCCACCCCAGCACAGGGAGGGGAGGGAGCACCGCAGCCCTTGGTCCTGGCAGCCACAGCAGACCCAGCCAGCCCCCTTCTCAAGACCCTCCACCTTCAGGGACACCAGATCCAGGGCTTAATGTGGGAGATTCTGATCATCTGCTTGTGGAGTATGGTGACCACTAGGACTGCAGGGTCACGCTCCCTGTCCAACCCATGTCATGAAGAAATCTCATGAGAGCCTTTGCCCAGGTCATGGTGGAGCTCCAGCAGAGTCAATGGATGCCACCCTCAGATGGCTCTGCTGAGGATCCTAGATTTTGCAGTAGGGCGTCTTTGCTAGAGCTGCCCCTTTCTCCAGAGAGCGCTCTTCGAACAGTGCCTTAGCCTCTTATTACCTCGCTTGCGTTTAGAAAAGCAATGATATTCAAGTCTGTGGTTCTTTTGCACAGGGCAATATTAATCACTGACTAGAGGCTGACCCAGGGGTTGTCAATCAACATTAGGTTGGGTTAGGGCGTGGTTGGTGGTGGAGTGCTTGCCGAGCATACACAGGGCCCTGGGATCTAGCCCAGCACTGCAAAAACCAATAGTGAACATCAGGTTAAGCACAGAGCCATGTCCTGCTAGAACCATGGAAATCCTGCTCCCCACAAGGCCTGCAGCCACGCCCTGCCTGTGGACACGTGTCCACACATCATGTGCATGTGGACGATGCTACTCTTGGAGTCTTTCTCCTACCTGAGCAGCATGGAGGTCAGTGATGGGCTTGGCCCTGCGCAGCGGGGATGGTTCCAGGTCCGAGCGGTCCCGGCTGTGGAAGAGGGTCTCTGCCTGGGCCGGCCAGGGGACAGCCAGGCAGCTGAGCAACAGTGTCGGACACAAGACAGAGAAAGCCAGCATGGCCCAGCCTGGATTCTGGCCCTCTTGTCTTGCTTTGTCCCCGTCTCTCCTCCTTAATGAGCAGGGCCTGGAACGCTTTTATGAGCAAACAAGCTTTCTCACCCAGTCTCGAAGTGTGCCCTCTGAGAGGCTTCTCAGCAGCCCTGGCAGGCTGCCTTTGAAGACCCCAGGGCCACCCTTCTTGTTAGCATGAGAACTCTCTCCTCATCCTCCTGTGTTTGCCACATCCTCAGGGAATTCCTTCCCCAAGTTGCAGATACCTGAGAATCTCAGCACTCTGGCGATGTGCACGTGGATGAGCACTGCATTCTCCTGCCTGAAGTAATATCCGGGAGGGCAGAAGTCATCATGAGAAGATGAGATCTGAGCACAGAGACAGGAGGGAGGCGTTCCTGTTCCATCTGGCTTGAAGGTTGCATTGTAGGCAAGGGGCAGGAGCAAAGGCCCTGCACGGGAACCAGCTGGGCAATTCTGTAGCACTCGGGAAGGAAGGAGACAGCGTGGCTGGACCTGAGTGATGGGGAAGGAACTCAAGAGGGGAGGGAGGGAAAGCAGGGGATGGTCCGGGGAAAGACCTGTGTGGCAGGGGAGCTGTTTGGATTTTGTTCTAAACTGCATGGAACTTTTGGTGGAGTGAGACTAAGTCTTAAGGAATCTCCTGAGTAGCTCTGTGGAGCTTTGAGACGGGTGGAGCCTGGGTTTCCTAGGTGGAAACTTCCTGGCCCCCTGCACCCTTCTGTGTTGCTCTTATGGCTCTACAGCCCAGGAACCCTCACCGGGGCCCAGGACAGGGGCTTTAGGGGGAATGGGACTAAGTGCCAGGGGATCTGTTTGTCTCACACTTAATAATTCAGCAGCAAGGCAACACCTGTGACACTGGGAAGGGAAGTGGTGCTCGTGAGGAGCTTGGACACCTCCAAGGTCCATGCACAGCTGTGTTCTGACCAGCAGAGAAGATGGAGCTGGCAGTCCTTCCCACTTTGCTAGCTCTGGCCAAAGTCTGTGCTTCTCAAAGTCAGACCTTAAACCCTGCATGACAGCCATCCCTCCTGGGGATAGGATGGTCTCTCCTAGGGCTTGCTGTGGATTGAATGTTTGTGTCCCCTCCTAAATAAACATTGCAACATAACCCCCAAAGCAAGTGTCAAACTGGGGGGCCTTTCAGGGGCCATTAGGCCAGAAGGGCTCTGCTGTGTGAATGGATTGTTATGCTTATAAAAGAGGCTTCAGAGGGCATTGGTCCTTTGCCCTCCCATCCCTTCTGCATGTGAGGACAAAATTCAAGGCCATCTTGAAGAGGAGACCAGGCCTCCATGAGACACTGAAATTGCTGTCATCTTGATCTTGGATTTCCCAGACTCTAAATTTTTACTATTTAAAAATTACTAAGGTATTTTGTCATAGCAGCACAAATGCACTAAGACAGAGATCGGAGACTTGAGGAATTCATTCCTAAAGAGTTTTGTTCCTTAAAATCATTTGTGTCTGTGTATGCTGTTGGCCTTGTGCTGCTGTGGATGGCCACACTCAGGCAAGTGTGGCTGAGTATAGGCAGCAGGAGGCATGGGGGAAAGGCTAATCAGCCCAAGTTGGGACACCTGGAAAGCCATGCTTGGGAGTATGGCCAAGAAATTATTTGAAATATTATAAGAATGAGGTCACAAAAGGAAACATGAAGCAGGAGGCTGCAGCTGTCTGGGTTGTACACTTTTGAACGCGTGTGTGATTTCTTGTGGCACCTCGGTATTTCTAACAAAAGTGAAAAAAGAAGCTCTTCAGGCAAGTTGGTGCTGCTCTGACCTCCTGCACATGACCTCATCTCATCCAGCACAGGATTCGTCAATCCCCTGGGTAAGTCTTTTGTGGCACAAGTGATAGACTTGTCTTATCTGTAGAGTAGAGCCACATTGAAATCTGCAATATTTTAAGGTTGGTTTCACCATCTCTAGTCCCAGAAGGGGACATTAAACCAGGAGAATAGCCTCAAGACCTCGATGCCTGCCCTTGGCACAGTGGGCTCCTGCATAGCCAAGGATGCCAAGTGGCATCATGGAGGCTCTTGGAGTCTGGTCCCTCGATTTCCTTCGCTGAGGGACCTTAGAGTGCTGCCAGAGTCCTCAGCATGGACTGCTGGAGCTGGGTTCTTCCCCAAGAACAGAAACTTCTGTAGAAAAGGGTTCCTTGACAAAGGAAATATTGTAAACTTACTCTAGGTTTGACTTTCAAATCAGGAAGGGGGACGGTTCTGCCTATGTCTGGGCAGAAAATCAGGGGGCATTATAGGCCTTCGTTGAGAAATTTCTGTACAAGTGTATATGACAAAATGTTAGAGGCAGGCTAACTTTAGAAATAAAAGAGGTTTATTTAGCTCAGTTCTGGAGTCTAAAAGTCCAAACACATGCCCAGGGTCTTACGAGGACACCCTCATGCTACACTGCCTCAGTCGAATGGCAGGGATGGGAAGCCACACAGGGAACAAAGACAAGAAGCCAGGGAGGGAGTGGGGTCCTGCAACCCCTTTTGAGGGCACACCCCGGTGACCGAAGGACCTCCTGCCAGGACCTGGCTCTTGAAGGTTCCATCAGCTCCCACACCATCATACTGGGGACTAAGCTCCTAACACACGAAGCTTTGGGAACACATTCAAACCATGTCAAGTATCAAGTCACAAGTGTGAAGTGTCAAGTCACACTGAGGTCTAGAGATCTAGAGAACCACAGGAGATGTCCTGGCCCTTGTGCTGCATTCATAAATGTCTTTTAAATTTGTCTTTTTTTAATCATTTATTAGCTATGACCTTGAACATGTATTCTCACCTCTTGAAGAGCCTGTTTTTACACCAGAAAAGTAGGAATGATAGCAATGCCCACCCTCCAAGGTTGTTATGAGGACTGTCACAGGCATAAAGCTTTCCCTTCCCTGGGGGCATGGTAGGTGCCCAGGATAAGATCATTCCAACCTGATCTTTCAAGGAGACAAGAATCCCAAGGGCATAGTGACCTTTTCCGCTATAGGCTATTAGAAAACAAATGTGGGTCTCCTTAACCCAGCTCAAATACAGGGCAGTATTAAAGAGTGGAAATAGAGTTTGGAGATAGATTCTCTAGGGACACTACATTTCTAAGTAAATCCAGCCTCTAGATGCCAGGGGCCAGCTGGTCTAACTGAGCAGTGCTGTAGTTACATTTCTGAATGAAAAAAGAAAAAAATTCTATTTGAATCCCAGTTGACCACAGCTCACAAGCAGGAACTTGAAGGTCTTTTTTTTTTTTTTTTCCATACACAGCAAATTTTACCATTAATACCAGGCTTGTCAGTCAATGGAGGTGGGCATATCTGTTCCCCCCTCTGAACACAGCTTTGCACTGAAAACCACACAGGTTGAGTTGAGACACACACTCGGTGGGCACATGCAGCCAGTGTGCTTTATTTGATTTCCTTCCTGCTGGGCACAGGAAGCTCTTGCACAGTCGAGGAACCACATGCACCTGGCTGGTTTCAAGCTGGACTTCATGGAGGGCAATGACATGCAAGGAGGCCTGACACTGGCCCCGGGCTGACCCCACCTCCCATCCAGGTGCTTTCATTCAGGAATGAGGTAGGAGTTTGATGGTGGCAGCTTCTCCAGAGCCGCTATCTGATGTTGCCTTCCCCCATGGGGAAGAATCCAGGTGGAGAAGGCCACATGGGGCCAGGGCCACAGCTGACTCAGCAGCAGCCTTGGGGCTGCAGTGCCTTCCTGATGCCAGCAGCCAGCGCTTGAGGCGTGGGGCTCTCTGCTGTGCAGCTCACAGGCAGGCCCTTGGCAGTCAGAGCGTGGGCTGTGGTGGGGCCAATAGCTGCAAACTGCAAAGAGGGAAGAGACAGAGCCTCAGCCAGCGCCTTTTGGTACATCACGCCTATGAGGGGTAAGCAAATGACAGCACGGCACAGCTCAGCTTTAGTCGGTATAGACCAAAACCACTGATTTGTACACTTTGAAGGTACACATACTAAATTAGTGAAGTAGTGAATGCTATGGTTTTAATTGCATCTCAATAAGAGGTTAAAAACATAAGAAAGGAGAAAGAAACTGCTTGAGACTGGAAACCAGCAAGCAGCCAACACATCTCAGCAGAGCAGCTGTGACAGAAGAGTGGCCAACAGTGGCCAACAGTTGGGTTGCAGAGTGATTTTTCCACCTGAGCTCTTTTCCTCTGTGGGTGCATCAGTGGTCACAGGACAGCACCCTATGGGGGATGCAGTCTTCCCACACTGGCCCTGGGAAGCCCAGTGCTAACGCTCCTTCCCACCGCTGACCACTGATAGGAGCTGAGTGTGTCAGTCAGCTCCATGTGGCAGTCAGCAGCCTGCTTCCCAACCAGCTCTGCTACCGCCAGCCTGCGACCTCCAGTCACAGAGGCCACCTCACAGGCTGCATGTGAGTCAACTGTGAGGGGCATGCGGGAAGGATGCAATGCAGTCACTCTGATTAGTTTGTTGGTGGTAGTTGTTATGAAAGGCTCACCTACTGCTCTGAAATTACTCCTTTGTGGCATTTACAGACCTGTGTATGGTCTTCCCAAGTCACTGTAAGTAGTGAATTCAGGCCAGAAGTTACCCTCTTGACTTTTTGAGATGACCACATTCTGTGCAGAGCTGTATACAAACAATGGGTCCCACAAAGATTCCTCGCAAGAGAGGAAGAATACCTTGCATATTTGGGGCCGAGCTGAGGCAGAAAGACCAAGCCACCAACCCACAGGTCTCAGTGCCTGTGAGCCAGCGCTAAGTCCTAGTGATGAAGGAGTCCACAGATGCACACAGACTTCATGGCTCAGGAACAAACCAGGAACTGTTGACAATGTCATCTCTGTTACTTCTCCTTCCCAGCACTGGCAGTGCTGATGGCCCCAGTGGCATCTAACTACTCGTACGTGATATGTTGACCTGCAAGGTGACTGTGGTTGCTGAGAACTGGAGGATGTCTGGAGGGGCTGAGAAATGGGCTGTGCCAAATCTAAGTCAGGCATCTTCACCAGGCCCCAGCTGCTGTGTGGTCTTGGATGATGCCAGCAGTAACCTACTCTAAACAGCTTGAGTTTCACTTGAGATTTCAAGGGTCCATTTGTGTTTTTAAACAGGTTTGTTTAGAAAGAGGGTGAAGTGCTAGGGAAGTGCTCTACCACTGAGCCACAACCCCAGCCCTAAAAAAGTATGAATGGAAATGTCAGGTTCCCCATGAAGCAGACAAACCTCAGGAGCCTGGGTGAGTTCTGTGGCACCCACAGGCCTGTTCAGGTTGCCCAGGATCTCAAAGCTGTGGCATGACTCAGACAGGGTCATTTTTGGGGTCCATGAGAGCAGCAGCATGGCGTGGAGGGATGAGAACTAGAAGTGCGCCAGCGCAGAACAGCTACTGGCCCACTCCGATGTCGTAAGTGCTCACTATGTGCCAGTTACCAACTGAGCACTTTCTGGGTCTTCTTGCTTTCCTCTTTCTAACAGCAAGACTCAGGAATTTTTTCCCTTTTCAGGGACCCACATGTGAGTCTTAGGCCTCCTAGTAATTCATGATATGAGTCGGGCAAATTGTTCAGCTTCTTTGGGCCTTAGTTTCCTTACCTATGATGAGGACAATTGCCCAAATCTTCCTGGATACCTGGGCCTGGACTGGCTTGAGAATCACTTGAGCTACACCTAGAAGAGCTTCATCCACCACCCAGCAGCCCTGGGACTACCATGATGTACTGCCATGGATGATGCCAGCAGTAACCTACTCTAAACAGCTTGAGGTAATAGCCTGAACACATCATCCTGGGTTCCAACTGTGACTCTTCCTAGCGGTGAGATGGAGGGCAGGGCACAGCTCTGACCCTAATACACCACCTTGAAACTGGAAAAGTAGTCTGGAAGCCCCACAGAAGATGCACCTGTGATAGGCAGATAAAGCTCCTCATTTCCCTGATGACAGGGAGCACTCAATGGTGCTGGTAGCCTCTTTCCTCAACCCACTTTGGGCCAATTCAAGGGAAGGTCCTTTATAAATACCACAGGGCTGCAATTAGTTGTGAATTTGTAACAAATACAGTCCCTAAAAAATGTGAATGGACCTTTATTTTATGCATTTATAGGTGGTGCTGAGAATCGAACCCAGTGCCTCACACATGCTAGGGAAGTGCTCTACCACTGAGCCACAACCCCAGCCCTAAAAAAGTGTGAATGGAAATCCTTAACATTAAAAGACATGAAAAAGGGATTTTTTTTTTTAAGAATAGGTAACTATTTCAAAATGGCTAGTGGCTAGCTGGGAAAGAAAAAGGGAAGGGAAGGATGCCAAAAGTTGCACCAAGTCTAAGCTCAGCACCAAGCTAAGGACTTCACTTGAACTCTCATTAGTCCCGGACTGGTGCTATGCAGGGAAGAACAATGTCTACACAGATAATGTCCACACAGGCCACAAAGAGATAATTATCCCCGTTTCAAAGAGTTTTAGCAACCTGGCAGAGCTCCAGCCAGAAAACCGTATTACCTTCCTAACTCTACAGAGCTCTCTGATGGGCATCTGCTAGGCCTATCCAAGGTGCTGTGACTTAATATGGAAACCTTATCACAATCAGTGAAGATTCAAAAACAAAACAAGCCAGGCCTGGTGGCACACACATGTAACCCCAGCAACTGCAGAGGCTGAGGCAGGAGGACAGCAAGTTCAAGACCAATCTTAGCAATTTAGTGAGACCCTCAGCATCTTAGCAATACCCTGTCTCAAAATAAAAAAAGGACTGGGGATGTATCTCAGTGGTAAAGTACCCATTCAATCCTAGCAGCAAAGAAGGAAAAACAAAAACAAAAACAAAAATCCCCCAAATACTAATCTTTTGAAAAAGTCCAAAAGCCCATAGAAAAACCATACCTTAATTTGATCAATGCTGTCACCAGACAACTCTTGAATATGCTTGAGACTGTATGTAAGGCCGGAGGGACTGAAGAACGTGATGCTGGCTGGGACACCCTGGGGGAAGAGCAAACAAGATCCATCCTTTGCCAGGAGACTGAGGGGAGACGATGCCCCTGACCCAGCTCCATCAGCACTAACACCCCAAGCACAGGCATCCAGCAGCTTCAATCAGGAGTAGTTCACAGTTATGTTGTGATTTTTCTGCCCCACAGAGGCAGAATTCTGGTAAGGAACTGTTCAAAGAGCAGGCCGTGATCAGACAGGTTGGTGAACAGGGCCCCTTGGTTGCTCTGCTGGCCCTCAGGGCTGTGTCTGGCCAGAGAACACGGGCACCACAGAGCCCACAGGCCCAGCAGTCTGGACAATGCCCCTAGGGCCTGTGGTCCAATGGCACTGAGTCAGGCTGACTCACTGTCACCTCCCTCTCCTCTAGTTGGAGCAGATGGCCTGCATGGTCTCTGATTTGGTTTGTCCTGTCAGGACCCCCAGAATCAGGCAAGGCATCAGGAAGCCTGTCCCAGGGGAGCAGAGGTGTCTTCTGAATACAAATGGTAAAGACATCAATCAACTCAGTCTGAGCTGTCCACTCTCCTGCCCTAGGCCTCCCCAAATCAGTACAGACACGACAGAGGGCTCCTCCCAGCATGGGCTCAGCCTCTGCCCCCACATGATGGAAATCAATGGCAACATCAAGGCCATTATGCACCTCAGGCTTGCATATACCTTGAATGCTGTACAAAGAGGTTTGCTTAAGTATCTCCTTATTAATTATCTCCTTATTAATCCTTCCACAAATTTACTAGATAAGTCTATTCCTTTCACAGACTAAAATGGAGTCTTGGAAAGGCCACTTCCTCAAAGTCACTTATCTGGGAACATTGCAACAATGTAGACAATAAGCATCTACAAGTTCATGCCACTCAGCCTATACTCTCACCACAGGGGCGGGGTGGGAGGCTGTCCTGCCAGGTGTCTCCATGGAAATACCACATACCTGCTTGGAATAGTAGCTGTCCAGGTTCACTTGGATTCCTGGGTGTGGAATCGTCTGATAGACAGTTATGCTTTCCATCTGAATTCCTAGGCACAATCAAAACTAGCAAATAGGGGTTGGGGTTTTGGCTCAGTGGTACAGTGCTTGCCTTGCATGTGTGAGGTCATGGGTTCGATCCTCAACAACACAAACAAACAAACAAATAGATAAATAAACAAATAAAAGATATCTTGTCCATCTACAGCTAAAAAAATATTTAAAAAAAAAAAAACAACAACAACAAGGAAACAGACTTTACTGCCCTAGGAAGACGGTGGAACCTCTACCACCCAGTATGCAGTTGGTAGGGATCTCCCAGTGCAGCACAGTCCTCCTGGAACAAAGAGCTCAGAATCTGAGAGGCAGAACTGAGGGCAAAAGGACCAGCTAGTCCTCTGCAGCCTGCTGAACACTGAGGAGCAGCCCCCACAATGGAGGAGGCCGAGAAAAGATAAAGATCCAGAAACTACAGCCTTTGTTTGTACACACAGGTGCTTTTGCTCCCATGTTTGTGTAAATTTGACAATACAGGATTGTCTCTGGCCACTCCATGAATTCCACACAGACAGGATGCTTATGCCAGGAAACAAAGCCCAAGGACAGCTCTTGGCAGAGACTATGAGTCAGGAGCTCCAGCTACATCCCAGCTCTGCCTCTCCATGACCATGTGCACCTCTTGGTCTCAAGGTACTATCCCCAGTGATGTGGTCAATGTGCTTTAGTCACCTTTGTCCTTCAGCATTTTTGGCAGGATTTCTCTTTTGAGGTTTCCACAGGGAAAGAGAAGAGGAAATGCTGGTGACTCTCCTGCAAACACAGAACCAGACTTTTAAAAACTTTGTAAAAATTCAGGGGGCAGGCCTGTGCACAGGGCCTGGGGAGGGCAGCTCCTGGGAGGATGAAGGTGTCCAGGTCTCCAGGACCAGCTCTGCTTCTGGATCTCAGTTCTGGCATCTGTAAGTGGGAAAAGCAACTGCTACCTTGCTGACCTTGAAGACGATTATATGAAGATAATGAGAGGTATGTGGTGAAGGTGCTTAGAAAACCAACATCCTCAGGAAAAGAAGCTGCTATTCTACATACTTCCTGCTCCTGCTGGTCCTGAAGTGGCTCCCAGCCTGTCGGCACTGTTTAGAAAGCAAGTTTGCAATTTACCTTAGTCAGAAAGGTAAGGATCAGTGGTGTTGGCATTGAGATGATTTTCCACTTCTAGAGGAGGCCTTGGAGGGGTCAGCAGGGAACTGGCAGTCAGGGTGCTGTAGCCACTTCCAACAAAGACAGGCTTCCTGTCCACTGCTCTCCTAGCTATGCCAGCAGCCATAAGACCACATGCCCAAAGGGCTTAGAGACAAGATGCTCAGAAGGACCCTGCCTCTCACCACGCCCCTCCACCCCATCTCTATTTTGCAAAGACTGAGGACGTTTTTGGCTCTAAAATCTTTGCAGAATAGCAATGACAGCAGGCGATCTGAATGCTGACCTGCAGCATTACTATTCAACAATACTAACGGGCTATAGACACCAGAATCTTCCCCAAATATGAAAAAAAAAAAAAAGGCATTTTGGTAGAATCAACTGTTTCCCCCCACATCTGTCTACCAGATGCAAGAAATTTTAATGGGTGTTGGTCATGCACAGACATTACATATTTTTTCTATATCCTTAGGGTCTCCCTGAACACATGTTTTTTGGTGAGTAGAGCAAAATAAGTTCTCCCCACCCAGCAGCATCTCCATGAAGCAGCAGCTAAGCAACTAGAACATGTATGTTACTCTAAGTCAGTATGTATAACAGCTTCCTACTGCTGGATGTTTTCTTCATCTATAATACTCTGTAAATATCAGTTCCAACATAAAAGAATCAGGAAATTGTTAAGTATTGACCACAGATGCCTGCTGAGTTCTCTTTTCCAGTGTGAAGAAATGTTTCCCACACATAGATGCCATGTTCAGGAGCTGTTTTCTTAACCTGGGCCCAGGCATTCCTCCCTGTCTATGTGTGGTGGGACAGCGGGTGCAGGATGCTGGGGGTTACGGCTCTCCATGGGGCAGCAGTGGGAATCCAGCAGCAAAACACGAAGTCTAACTTTCCAGCAAGCCTAGCCCCAAAGGCATGCAAGGGACCTTCAGAAGATTCAAGAATCTCCCCACTGCCATATTTCCTCCAAGGGCCCACTGGAGCACTGAGTTGCTCATTCTTATCCTCTGATTCCTAGATGGCTGGAAGTCCCTCCATGGCACTCAGGAGGCTGGGCTGCAGGGATTCCTGAGGTGAGTGCTTATCTCTCTCACATCACTAGAGGTGTCTGGCCCAGAGTCTGGCTTGCAGGCACTCAGGGCTCCCACAGGTCCAATCAGCTCAGCTGGCTTCACTGTAAAGGCCTGGCCCTACTGACATGATAGAAAGACCTGAGTACGTCCTGGGGAAACTCTTTGTTGTGGAGGGGCCATCTGCTGCAGTTAAATCTCCTGAGCTAGTTTCCCTTGAGGAGTCAAAGACCATCCATTCTTTTTTGGGAAAAGCTTAAGGCCTGTGGACTTGCCTTCAACCTAAACAGGGCAATGCAATAGTAAACTGCTGGTTTCCAATCTGAAGAGACCAACACAATAGCGAATGCCAGCACAGAATGGTGACTGATACAGTCCAAAGTCTGCCCTCCCTTCCTCTCACAGGAAGGAGGCCTGGCATTCTGGGTTATCAGGGCTGAAGGGCAACAATGCTGCAAACTTAGGAGAGTGTTATGAAGCTGAAGGTAGCAAACAAAAGGTGATGGTTTTTTTTAATAATGTCATCTCACTGGAGAAAATGTGCCTGTCTGTAAAACTAAGATCATCTCCAGGTCTCCAAGAGAGTGCAATCACTGGGCCCTGGATCACAGATAATTGGGATACAGAGATCAGTTGAGGGCATGGAAGAAGAGCCCAGCAAGCCTGCCTGGCTACAAGGTCTTTACAAGTCCAGGAGGACATTCCACATGAACTGCAGTGCACCGGGATTGAACCCAGGGGTGAGTAACCACTGAGCCACATTTCCAGCCCTTTTTATTTTGAGACAGAGTCTCACTAAGTTGCTTAGGGCTTCACTAAGTTCTGAGGCTGGCTTTGAACTTGTTGATCCTCCTGACTCAGGCTCTCAAGCTGCTAGGATTACAGGTGTGTGCCATCGTACCTGACTGTAATGCTTTTGACTCTCCCTCTTCTTTCTTTTTCAAGTTATAACTGTCCTCCAGACTTTACCATTTAACTTGTGATAATTGCTTTTCCATTAGAATAGAGGACCTGGGAGAGAAAGAGGATTTCTACACATTAATAGATTAAATAATTTATCAGTTTCACATGCTTACAATAGTGCCTATCTCATGGTAAATCATAGTTAAAATAAATAATCAATAACTAAGAATCAGACTGTTTACCACAGCATTGGAAGTAGATTTTTTGGCTTTTGAAATTGGTCTTCAAAGTTGGAAGAGAAAATCATTAATGCTTTGATAAAACCAAGGTGAAGATCCTTGTTAGCAGTCAACTTGGATTTTATTTGGATATTGTAATTGCAAATGGAAGATTTATCAGGGCCCCCAGACATGCTGGTGATAAATTAGAGGAAGTTAACAAAGGCTTTGCAAAGAATGCAGACCAGTATCACCCAAGATAGGGGCAGAATGTTTACCAAGCCTGTGTCAGTTAATTGGCATCTCTGCCTTTATATTTCGTCTGTCTCCTCTGCTGCTTTAACCTTTGAGTCAAATGTAAACACTTAGATCACTTGAGAAATATTTCATCCAAAACTCCAATATAGGGTTAACATGATTTAGATTTGCCTAGACTCTCTCCCTCTCCCCACTTCAAGGCTAAAGACAATACCAGCCACCATGACTGGAAACATCAGACCATGAAAGGTGTGACAAGAGGTGGCACCCAGTTGCTGGAAGCTCTCCTCCTATTTTTCTTTCTTTCTTTCTTTTTTTTTTAAAGAGAGAGTGAGAGAGGAGAGAGAGAGAGAGAATTTTTAATATTTATTTTTTAGTTCTCGGCAGACACAACATCTTTGTTGGTATGTGGTGCTGAGGATCGAACCCGGGCCGCACGCATGCCAGGCGAGCGCGCTACCGCTTGAGCCACATCCCCAGCCCCCCTATTTTTCTTTATTAGTCCCTCTCTCTCTCTCTCTCCCATTATTCCTTTTCTGTATCTGTAACTCAGCTCCCAGGAATAGAGGAGTTGATCCTCTTCTATTCTTTGGCCACTGACTAAAGCCTTCCTCACTAACACTCATCTCTCAGAGATAGTTTTTCCATAATGAGCTTCCAAACCTGGGTTCAGTAACAAAGATAGTAGACAATTTGAGATACTACTCACAAAATGCCAAGGTACGCCCAACCAGTTGGCCAGGCTGCCGGGACTTTGCAAGCCCAGGAGAACATCTAACACAAACTACAGTGCAGCCTGCCTTTGGTTCTCTCTTTTCTTTACTTGACCTTCTTTTGGACACCCCCTCTGTGACACTGTGGTGTAATAGGAGATATGTATTTGGCCTTCACCCTGGTTCACAGCTTTTAAAATCCTTGGAACTTCCTGAGTGACGGGCGTGAGGAGTATCTTCCATATCCAACGCAAGCTAATGAGGTGACTCTGGGTGGCCCCAGACAGCTTCAGAATGGATGAGGGTTCCAAAGGAGCCAACCATGTAATCAGAGGATTTTCAGTCCCTCACCCTGGTCTCCAAGGAAGAGAAAGGGCCCAGGGACTGAATCAAACACAAATGGTCCATGACTGACAATGAGGCCTACACAGTGGAACCTTTATAACCCACTAACTATGGGTTTGGAGAGCCTCTGGGGCCAGGGAACACGTCCACATGCAGAAGGGTAATGTCCCCCAACCTTGCCAGGAAGAAGCACCTGTGTTTGGTCTTTGCTTTATGTGCCCCTTTTTCTGGCTGTCTACGGGTATGCTTGCGTACTTTATAACCGACTCGTTAACGTAAGTGTTCCCCTGAGTTCTGTGAGTCGATTCTAGCAAGTTACTGAGCCTGAGAAGGGAGCTATGGGAAGCTCTGATCTGTAGCCCATTGGACAGTCTTGCAAGACTGAGCCCTTAACTGTGGGGTCTGCACTAGCTTTGGGCAGTGTCCAGCTCATATCTGGAGAGTTAGAGAACTGGTGTTTGGCATAAGGAAAAACCTCACAAAACTGGTGTCAGAAGTAGCTTGTGGGTAGAGAGAGATCCCAGGAGTAGCAGTAGCCAAACTAAGACACCAGTTCTGAACGGATGACATCTGCCAGCCTAGGATCTTGAGGAGCAAGGCCCTGGCTTCCTCTTCAAAAATATAAGGCAAGAGAATTCTAAGCCTCCTGTGGTTGCGTGACATGCTGCGAAACCTGAGTCTGCGGGTGGATTAGATGCATGGGAAGAGAGAAAGGGAGGTGCAATCTAGAGGAAGGATATGTGCACATCTAATCTCTCCATCCCTTACACTATAAAAGTCTTTGCCCCGCCATCCTTCAAAGGCCTAAAGTTAAAGTTTAATCCTCATATAAATGCAAAAATCCCTAGAAACAGCCCCATTCTAAATCCAGGTCTACCTACTGCTGCCCAAAAGTGAGCTTACTAAAACAGTCAGCTCTTCACCTGGGAGCAAGTTTTAGTGGGAGGGAATTCAGAGAAGGAAGCAGTACCTCAGAGGACGGGAAAGGACAAGATGGAAAAAAGTCTCCATCTGCACCAGCAGCTTCTGCTGTCTTAGAAGTTACAGATGGCCTCTCTGCTGTTCTCGTTGTCAAATATTATATTATGTGTAATGTTCAAGTTGTCTCCAGTCCTTTGGTATAGAAGGAAGTGGACTAAATCCCAAATTAGTACAGCCAGACACATATAGCAGGTTATGGTCGGGAGTGGCTTACAAGCTGATTGTCAATCAGCATTACTACTGAGAACACACCAGGAGTATTTTTCCCTAGGTGATGGCTGTGAAAGGTCAAAAACAACACAAATGGGCTTCATTTGGGGTGATATTTTTCTACTTACTGGAACAAATATATTCAGCCAGCTTTTCTGCATTTCCACAGTTTTCTCCTTCTACATCCAGGCCAATTTTACTGACTGGAAAACAACAAAGAAATGTCATTTCTTTAAGTGGTTATTGAAGTCCTTTGGTTCCTGTGTTGTTTTTTAGTATGCAAATATACAGACATGCACTTTACAAATCAAAAAGAAAAGTCTCTTCTCAAAGCCAGGTAGGAGGATCACTCAGACATGAAGGACAGATCATGCCCCTCACTCCTGACCTTAAATTTTGGGTAAGGACTTAACTCACTTCTCTGAAATCCACTTGCCTATCTATAAGAGGTGAAATGTCAACCCTATGGGACTGTCTCAAAGATCAAGTGAGATAATGACAGCAAACTACTGGCATCCTGGGAGGAGCCCAATAAAGGTTGTTTTCTTATCAACCAGTCAGGAGATGGTGAGCATGTAAGAGCTACTGCTTTTTGCAGGAGTCATTAAACAGCCTTCATCTGTGAAAAAGACAAGCCGCATCCAGAGAGGGATTGTGGGCTGACATACCCAGACAGAGATGGAAGGGAGGTCAGGAAGGGGTTCACAGCAATCTAACAACAGGGACCCACACTCTACAAATGTAGGTCATTTAGGGTGAGAGGTGTCCTTTTTTTTTTTTTTTTGAGGCTCATATTCATGAACTGAGTAAGGTGCAGAAGACCAAGGCACTTTTCCAGATAGCAAACTGGTGGCTACTCTGCCGAGAATGACGATTGCTGTCTGTGCTCCAGAAGTGGGACTTCTTGGAGAAAAGCGGTGTGGGCATTCCATTTAGAAGCACAAAAGGCTGGCCATTAACAAATGAGAGCTGCAGTGTGAATACCATTAGCTTTTAGTTTATGGATGATAAAATCTGCTGAGTCAAAGGGGGAAAATGCCATGCATATGTAAACTGTTCAGGCTGTAGTGTAAACACAGACCCAGTCTCCCACATGTTTGAGTCTTTTTTTTAATATTTATTTTTTAGTTTTAGGTGGACACAATATCTTTATTTTACATTTATGTGGTGCTGAGGATCGAACCCAGTGCCTCATGCATGCCAGGCGAGCACTCTACCATTGAGCCACAACCCCAGCCCTGTTTGGGTCTTAAAGGGCTCAATGCACAAAGGAATCTTAAAAAACCCTAGGAACAGAAGAGAAACCTGAGAATTTCCCCTAAGATTGTAACTTAACACAGCAGATCTGTTCCCTTGCTCTGTCACAGTGTCCTTAAGGAGCGCCAGGCAATAATGAAGGTTCTTTTACTGAAAGATGCAAGGGAGGATTATTGTTGTACTGGAGATTGAACCCGGGGCTTGTGCATACTAGTCAAGCACTCTACCACTGAGTTACATCCTCATCACTTTATAAAAATTTTGGGACAGGGTGCCACTACATTGCCTAGACTGACCTTTAACCTGGGAGCCTGCTGCCTTGGCCTCCCAGGTAACTGGGATTATAAACATGTGCCACCATGCCTTGCTACTGTTAACCATTACTGTCTAATTTATAAATTAAATTTCATTTTCAATTTTCATAAAAATTATAGGTATGAACATATAGGAAAAAATATAACCTATGTAGGGTGGGTACTATTTGAGTTTTCAGGCTTCTATTGGTGGTGGTGGATCATATTCCTGTGGTACAGGGGACTATTGTATTGACATCAATATACATTTTTCTCTTAAGTACTAAGACAATGGGAACCATGCCTAGAATACTAATGCACATATACTTTGCTGTCTATAAAGTCAGCACTTGCTCATTTGATTCCTACTACAACACTGTGAACAAGACAATTACTCCTGCACCTGAGAGAGGAGGAAGCTGGGGATCTGAGCAGTTAGTGGCTCTAGCTCTGTCTGCAAGGCCAAGGACTGGGAATATTTAGTCTGTCCTAAAGCCTATAAAGACTCTCAAATAATGTTCGGAGAATGTGTGTTTGGTCTAGGGCCTCAGCCCTGGGTGTAGAAAGGCTAGATCTGCTCCAACTCAGTTCAAGTGCTTCAACCAACACTTGGGCCTGAACAAGTCCATCTGAAGGGCCTTCCCCAGTCAATGGCTGACAGAGAAACTGCAGATTATCTAAAGTTGCATTAAATAAATAATAAATCCCACCAATCATGGACAAACCTGATGTAGAATATTTTAACAATTGAGACATTAGGATATTTTCACAATGGATCAAAGTTTTTAGACTCGTGTAAACCTGTGGAGTGAAATCTGCCAGCTGATGCCTATACTGAAAAAGTGCCATTTGGAAAATCAGAAGGTAAAATGAAATCCTTGGTGAAAAATCAAAATTGATCAAGAAATGATATTTGAAGATATTAACAAGGATATGGGTAAGACTGTTAAAAATCTTTTCAACATTTATGAGAAACCATGGAAATGTAAATTATATCTATAGAAAGATAATGGCTTAAAATGGTAAAACATCTGTATGCTGATGCAGTGGGATATGGTGCTTTTGGAAAAATTTTGTCACAGATCAAACTGGTCAGCCAATGACTGTCTTTGTTTGTGACCCTGGCAAATAACATCCTCCTCCTTAGGCTCAGTTGTTTCATTTTATTTAAATTAGAAAACAGGACTTATTAAAGAATTTCTTTATGAAAATGAGAAACCATGGCATGGTTCCTGGTGGATAACAGAAACTCCAAACAGTAGGTGTCATGAATGATATTAATAACTGTAGATGACAATGTGTTCAAAAAGTGTAAATATATGTTTTTCTGAGTTCTGAATTGTTATTGCAAAGTTGTCACCCAGGAGGTCACTGGTCTGGGTTTATAAAACCAAGCAGCAGTGGCCACATGTAGCTCTCAGGTACAACCCTGCAGTCAGAAGAGGGAGGTGGGCACCCTCCTTTGGGCAGCCAGATGGAAGTGTTCCTTGGGATAGGGGCTGAGTTACAGTGTATCATCCCACAAGCCAACTAACCCTGATTCTTTAAAAAACCCACAAACTTAAGATAAAGGGCTGCACTGGATCATGCACTTGACTAGTTACTCAGCTGTTCTGGGTCTCAAGACAGTTTGCTCATTTTAATTTCATTTGACAGAATGGAAGAGCAAAATGCATAGTGATGCTGCTAAAGTCAAAGTGAAGGATATGTGATAGCTCAAAATCTTTATCAGCTAATGTGCAGAAATCTGACTTTAGAGTATAAAAATCCAAGTTGGAAAATTTATAACTATAATGTGTGTGGAATAGTTGAGTTTGGGGTAGATGAATTAGTCAGATTTTCATCACTGTGACCCAAATACCTAAACCACTTAGAGGAAGAAAGATTTATTTTGGCTCATGGTTTCAGAAGTTTCAGCCCATGGACTTAAGGTGAGGCAGAGCATCATGGTGGAAGGGTGTGGTGGAGGAAAAGCTGCTCAGTTCATGTCAGCCTGAAAGCAGAGAGAAAGGGGATGGGAAAAGATATAGGCCCCAAGGAACCACTCCCTCCAACTAGGTTCCACCACCTCTCAATAGTCTACGCAGATTATTAATTCTTCAGCGGACTAATCCACTGTTGAGGTCACAACCCTCAAGATGCAATTGCTTCCCCAAAGCCCCACCTCTCAACACTGTTGCATTGGGGACCCAAGTCTTCATCATATAAACCTTTGGGGGACATCCAGAAACCATAAGAGGACACAAGTCAGAAATTGCCTGTATTATTTTCTTTCCTCTTCTCATTAAAAAAAAAAAACAAAACAGTAAAGTAAAAGCAATTTCTTAACTTATTTTGGAGAACTGACATGGAGAGTGGAGGTGGTTCCTTTGGCAACTAAGCACTGAGTCCCTCACCTGGTTGACTTGCTGAGTTTGTGGTAAGTTATCAGCACACAAGATCCAGGAGTCATCTGTAATTAGTCTAACAACTTTCAACCCATTTCGTCCCTAATCTCATTTTGTTCTCTGGAAAATGTACTAATTTCATTCATACCACAATATTTCCTCCAATATTTTTAAACTCATTTGGACAAATGAACTATTTTGAAGCTAAGTTATAGGTTAATTTATTTGCTTCTGGTCAGCATTGTTCCAAATATTTAAAGTGTTATAATATTAACTCTCAACAATTCACTCTATGTGTGTTAGAGAACTAATAAACCACTACATGGAGATTACTATTTTAGCCATTTCTTCAAAGAATAATTCATTGGCATTGAGTACATTCACAATGGAATTCATGGGTCAAAGTTTACGAATATTTAAATAAAACTTTTGAATATGTACTGATCAAGAATTTCTTAAAAGATATACCAGTTTTTAATGTCACTTAGAAATGTTTTAATATATTTATTTCACTGCACCCTATCAGTAGCATTAAATACTTAACTAATTAATAACTTTGTGCAAATTTTGTAAATAAAAACATTTAAAAACTGAATTGATGTATTTTACAAAAATAAAGAAGGCTAAACCATTTGGGGCACTTTATTTTTACCTGACTTCCTTACCCAGAGAAGCGGTAGCATTTCCAACCACATACACTGACTTGGCATTCCATGTTTCTTTCAGAGACTTTTCCCAGACTGCAAAATATTAAATTAAATTTGATTTGTAAGTACCAAAGTTTTGGATTGCTGCCCAAGGTTGCTTAAGTTTTGGATTGCTGCCCAAGGTTGTTTGTTCACCCGAAGAAACTCATGAGCAAAGCAAACTATTAATAACCAAATGTGAAAGAATAGCATCTCAAACTAAAATTCCATTTTCCTGTTGTTCATATTCTGCAGGGTGTTTTAAAAATCACTTAGGTAAATATTTCAATATGACTGCTTGAAATAACAATTTCCACAATTGGCACAGAAGCATTTTTTAACATGTACTAGAAAATAAACATAACTTAAAGAATCAATTTGCATGGTGAGATTAAAATTTTAAAAAATCTAGACTTTTAAAGAAACGTACTGGTCGTTAAAAAATGACATTATTATTAGACTTAAATGTCTAATAAATCAATAGTTATGTTTTATTTGGGAAATAAATATGAAAGTGATCAACAAAATATAATCTCAAATGAAAGGGTTCATTTACCCATGGTTCAAAGTAGAAATAATAAATTTCACTTTCATTAATAAACACAATATAAAAATAGAGTAAACTACCATTTTATGACAAGGAAAGATCTTTTAAAAATGGATTAAGGACATACAAAAAGAAAATGGATCGTATATATACATATTATATGGCTACTGTGGTTTCAAAACATTTTAAGAAGACAAATAATAGTGTTTTTTTGTCCTAAAATCTAGTAAGAGCATAATTTCTCCCTAAATTCACCAGTGTTATGGTGAATTTACTTTTTATATCCCAATGGAAATTCCTTTTTAAACAACAACTCAAAATTGAATTTTACCTTTTTTCCTACCCTACAAATGTAAGTAATATTTATTGGGAAATTATCCATAGCAGGGTAACAAAGTGCTTCTTGAGGTTTGCAGCAGAACAGTGATGGAGTGAGCACACTGATGGATAGAGGAGCCTCGCTGCAGAGCCAGCTCTGCCCCTTCAGCAGCTGTGGACCCCTGGCTAGTTAATGTTACCACTCCTATCACATACCATTGTCATGAGAATCAAAATAAAAACATTATGGGAAATGCTTTTTAAACTGCAAAGCATGACAAAGTTGCAGGACTCTGGGGTTTTCTCCTTTCTTACAACTTTCTCCTTCTAAGCACATACAAATGGAAAAATACAACTGTAGGACAAGGCACCCCAAATCTTACTGGGGGCAGTGACAGGCTCTCTCTTCAGCAGGAGGCCCATATGTGTACAGGTCTGCAGAAAGCCCAGCTTGTGGAGACAATGACAATCCATTACCATGTGACTCATGATGACTATTCCAGGCAACCTCCTGGATGCCTTCTCTGGGACTTGGACTCTTGCAAGAGTCACAAACATGCAACTTAAGACTGTGCACTGCATTCCTTGTTCTTCAGGTTCCTCATCTTTCAAGTGGAACTACCAATCCACCTCACAGGGTAAAGACCAAGGACAGCAAGTGGCACAAAGTGGTAAGTTCCAGCTAGTGAGTAGAAGAGTACTACTGTGGTGTGAGGACTACTAGACCTGCTCAAAGGCAAGGGACCTGACAAGCAGAGAGGTCAAGGAGCTCACCAAGCTCAGGATGACTGCACTCCAAAGCTCTGGGCCAACCACTCTCCCTGCTGTCACTCTCCCAAGCCTCTGCATTGTGAGCTCTAAAGTGAGACTGTGGTATTGTATGCCTTGGGATGTTGTCTGGGGTTCAATGAGATAATGAATTGAAGTATTTTACACAGAGCCTGATGCACAACAGGCACTCCATACATGTTAGCTAGGAGGTTGCTCAGCAGCAGTTATGAATAAGGTGGCTGTTCAGTCTGCACCCCAGCATTCAGTGAAAGGGCTGTGCCTTTTTATATTATTGATCCAAAGAAAGGGAAGGAGAAAGGGAGAAGGGTCAAGGAGATGGCCTGTCATCAAGGGCCTGACAGGGCATTGAAGATTTTCTCATACATTGCCAAGTTTTCTCATCATTCCTTTGAGAAAAGTGGTATTTATCATATTTTCAGAGGAAGAAATTGGTATTCATATGTTCTGAGGAGATACAAATGCCCAGCAAGCTGCGCGGAGGCACCCTGTCTGCTGCCTTCCAAGAAACATTTGGGACCCAGCGCCACCTTGCACACATCTCTGTCAGGGCTCAGCTACTTCTGTCTTTAGTGTCTCAGTGGGAGAAACAGAGTAAATAAAAGCCCAGTGGAATCCAGATCAGACCCACCCTCACCTTCAGTTTTATTGTCTTTCTTCAAACATAATTCCATTGCTTCCACTGCTCTGGGGCTGGTAAAAATGAGTCCCCCGTAACATTCTGGATGAGACAGCTGCACATCAGAAAGCAATAAAGGCATTTTGTATGATAGCTTAAGTTCCACATTTACTATGGAGCTATGTGACCCAGAATTCTAAATGCTTCCCAGAAGTAGCAGACAAGCTAATTCTTTTCACCCATCCACCACCCCCAACACTTACTGAGGGCTCACTCTGGGCCTGGAACTATTCTAGGCCTTTTAGGATGTATAGGTGAATTACCACAGTACTTCCCTCAAGAAGCTCACAGTATAGGAGACAGACAAGTGCAACCCAGGAGATTGTAGCAGAGGGGGCAGGACCCAGCCTGGGAATGGCTGAGGTGCAGGAAGAGGGCAGACTTGATCTGTGTCTTAATGCAACTGCAATATTCAGGAGGTGATGCCTATACTGAAGACCTAAATTTCAAAACTAGTAATGGTGATATAATGCACTAAAAGTTAACTCTGAGGCAGGCACTGGGCTGTTGTACAGATCTGGTATCACTCAAACTGTGGGTACTGAATCTGTTGTTATGTCACTACATAACAACAGATTTTGTAGTGCTGGGCATCAACCTGAGGGCCTTGTACATGCTACCCCTCTACCACTGAACTACATCTCCAGCCTAAAGGCTTTAATCTGAAACATCTGGAAGACTTCACTGGGTATGTCTCCTGCAACATTTATTACTCCTACACTTGGATGCAAAGCTGAAGTGGTAGACAGAGCCCTGGGTTTGAGTTCTAGGTCTATCTTTGGCTGGCTGGAGGTCTCATTCTCTAAAATGGGGAAAATACCTGTCTGGTCTGCTATGTAGAGGTCTTTCAGGGGAGAATATGAACAGAAGATTCTAGAATTCTGAGAACCACAAAGGTATGGTGCTCTCATAGGCCCTGTTCTTCCTGGCCTACCTCTGGTTATGGGTGGCTTCCTAGAGGAGCCACGGGAGGCTTGGTGAGAGAAGCCCAGGACGAAGCCTCCTGGAGCCCAGTGTGCCGTCCTTGTGTTCAAATCTGGTGGTAGAATAAGGGGCTAGGAAAATGGCTCAGGCTGGCCAGTTTCTAGAGACCAAACACTAACAGGGAGTTCAGACAAGACAAGTCTTACCTTCTCAGAAAAACTTGGAAGAGATAAAAACTCAAAGGATAAAACAGGGATCAATGTGGCTTCAAGTCCATACAATGCTAATTCCTGCAAATGAAAAAATAGTTCTGGATTGGCAGGGGCTATTCTGCAAATAAAGGGAATGGATAGTATCATGAACTTTATTCTGTGTCAAGTATGAGTGTTAGCAACTCCCCTCCACCACCCCAGCTCCAGGCCCTTGATTCCTTTAGCAAGAAATCTCCAGTTTAGGGGACAATGAATCTTGGGCCACTTACCCTGATGTATGGATCCTGGCCACAATCATCTTCCTTTGCATCTTTCAGTAAAAGAACCTTCATTATTGCCTGGTGCTCCTTATGGGCACTATGACAAAGTAAGGGAAGAGATCTTAATTGGATCTCAAAGAATTTCCCTAAGCAAGACTAGATGGGGGCAGCATGAAAAGGAGGTGATTAACTGCTCGCTGGAGAGATCTGTTCTGCCCACACAGTGACTTGGCGTTAATGTGCTTGCTCTTTCTGAAGACCCCTGTCACTGATAAGGCCAAGGGAGGGCATGTTAGCAGTTGATATCACTTGCAAAGGCAGATGAAAGCCATCAGTGAAAGTCAAGTGTCCCATGTCAGTGGCTCACCATAAAAAAATGCAAACTCTGGGGTGTATCTATAACAAATAGAGAAATGAGCATCTTACATTTATGAAGGTAAATTCATAATTATTTCCATTTCAAGACAAATATACTACGCAGCTTATAAGTACTTTAGGAAATGACTGCATTGGCTTTTGCACTTCTCAAATGATGTTTATAAATGTTGTCAAGTATAAGGAGATAATTTAGCAGCCTGAAGAATTATTTGTAGACATTTAAAGTCTTACAGACTTCATAATCTTTCTTCCTGCAATTTCATTTCTAAGAAGATAAACCCAGATGATACTCATAAATGTGTACAAAGAAAGATTGTTTAACAAAGATTTCATCATCCCACAAATAGCACTAGACCCACGAGTTCCTTAAATGTTGTGTAGTGATTGGTGAGACCGAATAGAGTACACTGTGTGAAGTAGAAGTGTGTTAACTCTGAGAGCCACTAATTATAAATGACTACTAATTATATTACTGGAATATTGGACTATTTACAGGACATTTTAGGAAAAGTTGGTTCAAAATGAATTGCTTTGTGTTTAAGCAACCAAACCTAGGTGAATATATTATTATGAAATCAAGTTCTAATTATTGTTGCTGTCCAGGTGTTAAGATTGGGGATTTAAGGAAATGGGCAGTATTTCCTCAATTTCTCAAAATGTGTCTGACAGAAATTCAGAGCCCAGTTTTCTGTGATGGTCTCTTTTATATGTCATCTTAGCAAGTTATAGTTTCTGGTTATTTACAAGTTTAATCTAGGTGTTGCTGTGAAGGTATATTGGAGATACAGTGCATCACCAAAGGCTTTCCATGGGCAAGAGCTCTACCACTGAGCTATACCCACAGTCTTTTATTTTTTTTACAGTGCTGAGGATTGAGCCCTGGGCATCTAGTATAGGCGTACCTCTGCCACTGAGCTCACCCTCAGCCCTCTTCCTGTTTCCTTATGGAAATAGTGTAAGGAGGGAATCATGGTGTCACAGAACAAGCATAGGAATAAGGGCTAAGGGACATGGGCTCTGGTCCCTGCTTTATGACTTACCATGGTTTGACCATGTTTTCTCCTGTGTTAAGCTGGAATAACCTCTGCCCTAGCCACAGGACTGCCGAGACAGCTAGCACATTTGTTGCACATGCCAGGCTTTACATGCATTCAATTGATGAGGTTTATGCAGAAGCTGAGGTACACTTGTTCTGTTTCGGAATGGCTAAGTGGCAGCTGGGGGTCATACCCCAAATTCTGTGTTTTAACTCCCCTGCTGTATCTGCCTCTTATAAACTTGGCAAATGAAAATGTTTAGGAAAGACAAAGGTATGAAGATATAAAGTTATCACTATAGTACCAAGTACTTCATTTAACTATAAAACGTGAAAGCCAAATCAATTTATCCACTGCTAGCAGAAAAATATTCCTTCTGAGTTCTCTTCTGATTTTCTTAGGATAAAACCATGTTAGCAAGAAGCTTGGGCTTTCAGATAGTAACTATTCCTCACATGTGCTGTAAGACTCAACAAATAGAAATCAAATTACTACCCTTATCCCTCTCCTGCCACTCCAGTTAAAATTAAGGGGACCTGTTTCTGGTGATGCTCTGCTGTGCTGAAGTCCCATAAGTAGGCTGAGAAGTCCAGGATAAGCACCTGTTGTCAGGTGAATAAACAGGCTGCACTCTGAACTTGAGGAAGAGGGCAGTGGAGGAGGAGCTTTCCCACGAAGGCTGAGGCTTGGGTTCTGGTCTAGGCTGCTTTTTTTCCCCCTTTAGTACTAGGGATTGAACTCACGAGTGCTCTACCACTAAGCTACATCCCAGTCCCTTTTATTTAAAAAAATTCATTTTCAGACTCTAGTCTTGCTAAGTTGCCAATGCTGACCTCAAACTTGGAACTCTCCTGCCTTAGCCTCCTGAGTGCTGAAATTCCAGCTGTGTGCCACTGAGCCCAGCTCAGGCTGTTCTTCTATGAAATTGGCTGAGGGATTCTCAGTGGCTGGATTTTCTGAGGGCCCCTCTTTCCCACAGTAGACGCTCAATACTTTTTCACACTGTGGGAAAACACTTTTAACTTTACCCAGCATTTCTGAAACAAGAAATGGTTGCTTAAAGAAATAGGAAAGTGACTGGATTAAGATGGTTTCACTGGTAAGAACGAAGCCCCAAACACTTTGTGTGTCCTGCTGCTCTTTGTATCAGCAGTAACAGCAGCTGCCCTCTATTGAGTACTTAGTGTTATTTACTATGAGGGTTCTGCAGAGAAACAAAACCAACAGGATATATCTGTATCTACAAAGAAATGTAGGAGAAACTTGCTCATGTGATTACAGAGGCTGAGGAGTCCCACAAATTGTTACTTGCAAGAGAGAAAGGAAAAATTCTGAGATGTCTTAAAGTGACCCAATCCAACAGATGTTCTACATTCCTGAATTATGTTAAAAACTTGAGTTAAAAACCTCTGGGAGCTGACCCCAGGCACCACCAACCTCTCTGGCTTCTGGATAGACTTTCTGGACTACTAACCCCAACCAATCCAGAAGTTAACAAGAACTTTTCCTTATGGAATGCCCTCCTATCCCACATTTCCTTTCTCACTTCATGTGATTCCCACCCCTTTTATTTATAGCCAACATAAATTCACTGGAAACAACTTTATGATTTCGTTTCCCAAATCTTCATTATAAAAGTGTTTTGGGCTTTTGTGGATATTTTTTCCGGTTGCTACCTAGCCTTGCTGTGGTAACTGTGGCACTCATCCAGGATTCGGTCCCTTTCTGGCTAGCATCTGTAGCAGCTCAATAATTTTTTTTTTTTTTAAAGAGAATTCTTGGTCTAGAGACTCAAGAAAGCTAGTGGTGTAGTATGAAGGACTAATGGAGTAGTTTCCAGTCCAAGTCTGAAGGCCTGGGAACCAGGAGCACCAAGGGCAGATGAAGGACAGAGGCAAATTCTCCTTCTCCCTCTACCCACTTTGGGAAGAACAATGCACTTTACTCAGTCAGTGGATTCAAACACTAATCTTCTAAAAATTCCCTCACAGACTCACATTGAAATAATCTAATATATCTGGGCATCCCTTCATCAAATCTAGCTGACACATAAAATTAACTTATTAGCTATCATACTGGGCTAATAAGCATTTTACATGCAAGACTAAAACCTCATTTAAGTCTGCAATGTAGATATCATCATCCATATACTAAAGGACAGAAGAAAAAGGCTCTGCAAAGTTTGAGGCACTTGTCCATGATCACACAGATTGTAAATGACAGTCTGAATCCAAGCCTGAAGCTAATCACTCTAGATTGCCTTTCTACTCTTTTAAGGCAAATTCTGTACTAAATAGAAAGATTGAGACAGTGGTAATCAATCCATTCCCTAACTAAGGATGTCCCCTGGGATCTGTAATATATTTTTCTTGACTATCAAAACCATAGCCGAGCCATTTGTTCACACTTGCTACTCTAATTCATATTCTGACCATGATTTTGAGAGTAGGAACCAATCTGGGGGCCCAAAGAAAGACTGTTACTCTCTTCTCTTTGCACACACACAAAAGCAAAGTTTCTCAAAAAAATTAACCATATGATCCATCAGTTGTTACATACCCCCCAAAAATTGAAAGTAGGAGTTTGAGGAGATGGTTTTATACTCATATACATAGCAGAATTACTTAAATAACTAAAATGGTGTCCATCAACTGTCACTTGACAAACAAAATGTAATATATACACACAATGCAATGTTTTATTATTCAGTCATAACAAGGAAGGAAATACTGACACACAAAGACTACTATATGATTCCAATTAAAAACATACAAAGAGGACTGGGGGTGTAGCTCAGTGGGTAGAGTGCTTGCCTATCATGTACAAGGTCATACTGGGTTCAATACGGAGCAATGCAAAAACAAACAACAACAACAACAACAACAAAAAAAACCAAGCAGGGAAATTACCAATAATGTCTCAGTGTCACACTATTGTCATGTTTGCATGGTGTATTCTAAGTCTCTTTTCTAATCTTAGCCTTTTTGAAAGGTGCACATTATAGAATTCTGGCACAACTGTGTGGCCCAATCGGGCCACTTCAAGCTACTCTGTCAGATGTGCAGCCCTAATTTTTAAGTATATTAACATTCATCACATGGCCTGGTGGGCACCATCATGAGGACTCTGAACTAATGGAGACCTTTAGGGTATACTGATTTTACTGAAGAACCACTGACAAGAAGTTCCCATGCTTCTACATAAACCTCTTACACAATGACCACCTTACTTCTAAGGACAGCTCATTCTGTTTTTCGAATCACATCTGGCATTCGTTTTCAGTATAAGAAAATGGATAACCATATTATCTCATTCTCAAAAAGCTGATGGCTTCCCTAATTAAAGTTCTTCTTTCATATAGCCTTTGTAAGGACCTGAAAATTGCTACCCTGAGCGGTAATCCTGACTGGTGGACGCAATTTATTTGGGAGTGTTTTTTTCTTTTTAATGAAGTTGGATTCCAGTATTTTATCGGTCCATTGTAGTTATGCGTAATAGTGGGGTTTGTTGTTACATGTTCACACGTGCACAAGAAATAGCAACATAATTCGGTCAACAACAACGCCAGTATTTCTCCCTTCCCGTCCCACCCTGGTCCCCTTCCTCTTTATTGGTCTCCCTCTCATTTTCACGATTGGCTTTAAGGATCTTATTTCTTGTAAACGTCCGGAACTCCAGCTTCTCTCGAACTAGACACGTGACAACCCGGACCAGTACTTCCACCTGCGCACGGGCGGCCGCAGAGGGGTACCTCTCCTGTTTGTCACAGGCTCAGGCCGTCCATTCGGATCACGTGACCGGCGCCCAGGCACGCAAGGCGGTCTAGCCCCTCTCAGAGGGCTTCCAGGGGCCTGGCCGGCCGGCCCCACACCGCTAAGGCCCGCATGCCCGTGTCTTCCTTGGCACCCTGGGCAGCGACACCTACCTCGCGGGCCCCGCGAGGCCCCAGGGCTAAGAAGCGGGAGCCCGCCCAGCGCCACGCGCCGCACTCGGCCCACACCGGTGGGAGGCGGGACCCCGCGGTCCCAGCGAAGGGGCTCAGGGAGACTGGCAACAGAGTGGCCGCCCCAGGGAACTCAACGCCTCCGCACCAGCCCCCGGTCCGCCGCAGTGCACAGGTGAGCGGCCGCGCGTGCGCACCGGCGTCCAGGCCGGCGGAAGGAACCGGCCCGACGGGTCGAACCACTGCGCGACAGGGGTAGCCTTGGAGGGACTGATGAGGGAGGGAGGACGAATGAGAAATAAAGGGCCAGGCTGGGATTTATGATGGTTGTGACTCCGGAAGATCAAGGCTGTGAGTCCAGAAGGGTCTCTGGTGTTCATACAGGTCCAGTTAGCGCCGAGGGGCTTCGTGGTCCCCCACCCCCTCGGCCAGTAGGGGTCGGCCCGGAAGGGCGGGCCGTAGATCCTGCGCAGGCGCATTGTGGACGGCAGCATGGCGTCCCGGGCCAAACGACGGGCCTTGGGGAACGGATCCCCGCGGCCTCCCGGAGACCCCGTCCGGCACGACGACGAAGAAGGGGAGGATGAAGTCGAGGATGAAGACGAAGACGATGAGGAGAGTGACGAAGAAGAGGACGAAGACGACGAGGTCCTTGACGAGGTGAGAAGCACGCGCGACCCCCGGGTTTAAAAGCTCCCTGCCCACCAGAGCAGGGTGAAGAGCGTGTGAGCTGCGTGGACTGGTGACGTCCCTGTCCCCGGGCTCGGCAGGCAGAAACGGGGGGCCAGGTGCTTGTGGAGTTCCAGTCCAGCCCTTCCTACGCCGCCATCGTGGCGACGGTTCCGAGCTCCTCCTCGCCGCTCAGCCGCCTCTCCCCTGCGTCCGCCCCCCTCTTGGGTCCTTGAACTTCCCGCGCTGTTGTTCCAGCCTTTTCAGAGGCTCGTAGTCGTGCACTTCTCCTTCGTGTTCAGAGCTCGACTAAGCGGCATTTTCTGCCTCTTTGGTTCTTTTTCTTTTCTTTCTTTCTTTTTTTATTTTGCCACTGGGGATTGAAATCAGGGGCTCTCAACCACGGAGCCACACCCCCAGCCCTATTTTGTGTTTTATTTAGAGACAGGGTCTCACCGAGTTACTTAGCGCCTGGATGTCGCTGAGGCTGGCTTTGAACCCATTATCCTACTGTCTCAGCCTCCCCAGCCGCTGGGATTACAGGCCTGTACCACCGCGCCAGGCCATTTTCTGCCTTTTTGGGACAGCTGACCCGGTCAGATGGTTTAGCCTTATGAACTCAGATCTGGTTTCCTTTCCTAGTGCCCAATATTATAGACATTTATTCGTTGAGTGAATAATGAGTAAGGCTACTGAATGTCTAAGCAGGTGCATCAAACTTAACTATCATAGTTTGGAATTCATGCCTCCCTCACCTAATCTTCAGCATTCTGTAAATGGCCCTAAATTGACCAGTTTCTCACACATCAAATCTAGGAGTTAACTCAAATCTCCTGTCTTTCCTCATTCCACATCCAGTCTATCAGTAAATTCTTCAGTGTCCAGACACTTCTCATTGATTTTGTAACCATCTTGGTCCACACTGCCATCATATCTTGCCTGGACTACTGTAATATAATAACTGACTTGCCTTTTCCATTCTTGTTCCTTTATGGACTATCTGCTTACAGCTGGAGATCTTGTAGGTCTGTTCTCATTCTTTTGCCCCGAATACTCCCGTGACTTCCTATTTTATTTATTTAAAAAAAAAAAAAAACATTTCCTCATGGTTGGCGGGCAGAAAGGCAGCAAGGATGGGTGAATCAGAATAAAGAGGAATGGGAAATAAAGTCTTAAGAGGTAAGCACGAGTCAGATTGAGCATGGAAAAGATGATACAGAGAAGTGTGGATGCAGGGTTGGGGATAAGACTGGTGTGGGCATATGACACATCTTCCCAATCAGATCAGCTCTTTACTTTGGCTGCTTGCCTTGTAATTACCATCTTACCACTTTTCATTTGGAAAAACGTTTGCTATTTTTCTAATTTTGTGTTTGTAGGAACCTGTGCTTGCATTAACATGGAAAATCTAACATACCTCCAGTGACTGAAAATGTGTTTACTCTAATAATAGTGTAGGAAAATAGGCACTTACATATACAGTTGGTGGGAATGTAATTGGTACAGTCTCTTTGGAGGTAATATGACATTGATTAGAATTTAAAGTGTTTACATCCCCTGATTCATTAATCCTATTTGTAAGAATTTACTTTCCAACAATAGTAATAGATCCTGTTCTAGACTCAGCATTTTATTTTTAAAAATGTTTTAGGTGGACATAATATCTCTATTTTTATGTGGTGCTGAGGATTGAACCCAGTGCTTCATGCATGCTAGACAAGTACTCTACCATTGAGCCACAACCTCAGCACATTCTGTGCATTTTATATTAACTTATTTAATACTTACATCAGTCCTATGAAGTTAGAATTATTGCTGTTTTACAAGTGAAACCACACAGCAAATTAAGTGACAATAACATGTATATAGTCTTTTATGTGGAGATTATGTGTATGCTTGACATTAACCTCTGGAGAGTAGGAGTAAATGCTCTAAGGAGAAGGGAATAAGGGCTTTAAATCTCTTCTGCACCCACTGTAGTTTTTACTCTGGGAATATATGGCCTTTTGTGGGTTTTTGTTGTTGTTGTTTGCTTTAGTTGCAGTTGGACACAATACCATTATTTATTTATTTATTTTTATGTGGTGCTGAGGAGTGAACCCAGTGCCTTGCACGTGCTAGTGTTATAAAAGCTTCGTCCTGGGGTTTCATAAACTGACTTCCAGACCACCCACGTATAACGAATCAAGCCTTTATTGAAGCACACCGGTGGCGGCTAACCAGAACATAAGGCTGTTCCCCTGATCAGCCCTGAACAATTGCAAGGGCGCTCCTTATAAGCCTGAAAACTGCAAAAGGGATATTCAGGGATCTAGCCAATGCAAGCAAGCCAAGTTACAGAAGCAGGAGAGTGCAGTCAAGCAGTAGGAAGCCTAACCAATCACAGTTAGCCCAGTCACCCCAGTTACAGAAACAGAGCCCCGTTACCCTAGTTACAGAAACAATGCCCCATTAGGTAGTTCCGTGTTCTTAAAGGTTTCTATAGCAAAAGGAAGAGAACATCTTACCCCAGTCATGACCCTTCTACTTGGCATGGTTGTTTTACAGGATGAAGTCATAAAACAAAATGGAGTCACATTTGCTTCTACTATCACACAAGGAGAGCATGCTAAAGCTGAGCCACAACTCCAACCCCTATGTATGGCTTTTTTTTTTTTTTTTGATGGAAGAAATTGTTAAAGTTTTCAGGGCAGTTCCCCATGCTGAAATACTAAGTGGATATTTATCTCTTTGTTTATTTGAAGAAGGCTTTAATTTCTGAGATGTTCACTTATTCACAATTTATTTCCCTTTTGTAGGAAACTATGAGAATTATGTTAAATTCAAAATCAGACTCAGGTCTTTTTTGAAACAAGATGGTATATAAGGACATCTGCAAATAGTCTAATTTAAAGAATAAGGTGAGGCAGCTGGCTGAGCAGCAATAGAAAGTGGTTTTTCAAACTTCAAGAAGGAACAGTGCCGATAATGAAAAGATGAGAAGAAAAGGCTTGGGCATATTTATTAAGGTTCTTGGGATCGTGTGGTTAGGACTGTTGTTTGTGCATAACAGAAACCCCTGAAGGATCACTTCAGCCGAGGGGAATGTATGCTGAGGATGCATAGTTATCTTAATTATCTCCAAGGGTAGGAAAGCCAGTGAGCTTCAGGATTAGACTGAGTCCCTGAGCTTGGAGTGCTATCAGGAACCTTCAAAGTCTTTCATGTTTGTCATCCCTGTCATACTCTTCTCACTGTATTCTTGCTTTTCCGTTTCTACTCCATATAACAGAAAATCAAAATGCCAGTAGCTTCAGAGTTTCATTAGAAAGAGCAAGAAGGCTAGAAGCCACAGTCTGAAATCTGAATGCTGGGGAAGGGGGTGAGTGACAGGGCTGTTATACAAAGATGGCCGTTTTTGCTGAAACCATGTAAAGGGGAGCCTTATGCAGGAAAGAGGTGTGGACTGGTAATTTATTTGGTAGTCATTGCAATAGCTATGCCATAATAGTCCAAGATGCAGGTCTGAGACTTCTATCTAGATAAGAGACACTAGAGAGCATTATTTAAATAATTCTAAGGAATAAAGACCTGAATAATGACAATTTGTCATTTGGTTTAGTTTGATCCTATTTGGAATGCTCCCACCCAGTCTTCTGGGTTTTGCTATTTTTGTAATCTGGCCTACTTCAGAGAGTGAGATTTAAAGTGTGCAAGCTAGACTTGATGTCTGTGCCCTGGCAAGTTCACAGTCAAGAGAGCACTTAAGTGTATGCACAGTTAGGATGACAAGGCAAAAGTAGGTCTGTTTTGTCTGCAGAATCCTTCAGCTGAGACCCAAATTCCAAAACCTATAAAACCTGAAGTGCATGTAAATATATTGTATCATCAGAACTCATGTCAAGGTATGGTTTAAGGTATGATTTAGATGCATTTAAAAGCATCAAAGATTTTGTTGTTGGTGTGAAGTAATAGTTTCATTTTTTTTGTGGGAATATTTCAGTAGAATCTTGTTAGATTCTGTTGTTTTGCACAGATAGGTCAGGGAGCCCAGCTCCCCACTTGTTCTTCTAGTCCTTTGGACTCACCATATTACTCCTGACTTAGAGCCTTAGTATGTGCTGTTCCCTGTGCCCCCTTTGTTTGTTCTCAGTTCCTGGTTTGTGCCACTTTGTTAGGTATGTTTTTCTTGACCTTCTCACTCTTTTTCAAGTGGTAGCGCTATGTCCCTTTCTTTAATGGCACAAATAATTGTAATTGTAACTTTGCATTTATTTGTGAGTATCTCCTTAGTGTCTGTATCCCAACTAAACCATAAGCTTCATTGGGAGCAGGATCACTCATGTCTGCTTCCCTAGCCAATTTATCTCAAATGCTTGGTACCTGGTGTTATTTAATAAATAAGTAAATGAAGTATAGCCTCAAACCCATCGGCTAAATCAAGCTGTAGGCAGTACCAGGAACTTTTGAAGTG